CAAGGCAAACTTGCTTATTCTTTAAACAGTGGGATATTTAGTACTCTTCACCAACATCACAGTTCTTCCATTTTCCTTATTCACTGTCCAGTTTTCACGTTCATAAGGAAGTAATTGAGAATATCTTGGCTTCAGTCAGGCATACCTTAGACTTTACACTGACATCCTTGCCCTTCAGCACCTTGGAAAGGTTCTTTGACAGTAGATTTTTCCCAGTGCAACACGTCTGTCTTTTGATTACTTGACTGCTGTCACCATGGGTGTTGATTGTGAATCCAGGTAAAATGAAATTGTTGACAACCTCAATCTTTTCTCCGTTTCTCAGAATTTTGCCTGTTCATTCACTTAAGGGTTTTTTTTTTTATTTTCCTGGTGTTGAAATATAATTCATAATGAAGACTACTGTCTTTGATCTTCAGTAAGTGCTTCAAGTCTGCTTTGAGCAAACTGGGTTGTGTCATCTGCATAATGTAGGTTGTTGATGAGTCTTCCTCCAATCTTGATTCTTCTTCATACAGTCCAGCTTCTGGAATAATTTTCTCAGTATACAGTTTGAATAAGTGTGTATAAATGATAAATTCTGATTTATACCTTTCCTGATTTAAACCATATGTTATCTTTCTGTTCTATACGTAGAGTTACCTGTTAATTATAACCAGAAGGGGTACAAGTGAAGCGAGGGGCATGTTAGAAAAGGAGATGCTAAATATTTATGTGATTATTTGGAGTGTACTTTATAAAGTGGTCATTAAGACTAAAATCTAGAGTCCCTGTGTGGTGCAAATAGTATCTGTCTAAAACAAAGGCCTGGGAGTTAACATTTATTCAGACATACTTCAGAGGAAGATCTAGAAAAGACCAGTTGTTGAAAATCCTACAGAACATGGTTCTACAGTGAAACTTGGGTGCTCACTGTGAGTTAGAAACAGCTAGATTTTAAGGCTAAAATCAAATCATTGTGAGACGCCAGACTGAGTTTTTTTACCTTTAGAGTTATCAGCCATCAGGGGAATTTGTCAGAAAGGGAGAGGTTATAGACTGCTTGCCCTTGACCTCTGCTTGATACTGTCAGCTCACACAGGGGAAAGAAACTGGCCCCTTTGAGGGGACTTTGCTAAGTCCTGTAGTAGACAAGTCAGGAGCCTGTTTTCGTGCTCCAACCCAAAGGGTGCCTTTTTTCTCCAAAGCACCTGAATTCCAGATGCAGTGTAATCACACCTGACAGGATGAGGAGGATTTGAGTGTCAGCCTTTTCAGCCTCTCCCCGCGATCTTGCCCTGCCTGAAGGGGGCTGATGGTGCACGATGGCTGTTGGTGGGGAGGGTGGCATGGCTTGGAAATGTCCTATGCTTCATTCATTCAGAGAAAGCTTTCAGCGGCACACGTGGACCCCAGCAGGGACAGCTGACTCATCAGAGCCTTCATTTCCCTGGAGCTCCTTCTCTGCCAGAGAGCCCCTGACTCTTGAGAGTGGATTGTGAGAGGACAGCAGGAAGCAGGTTTCCTGTCTCCCCCTCCCTTGTCACTGGCTGATTTGCTTAAGTAAGCAGCACATTATTCCCCATCAGAAGCCAAGAGGAGGCAGCTGGGACAAATTAGTGCCAGCCACTTGGTCTGGCCACCCTCACTGCAGTCTCTCCATTACAAGAGAAAAGATTTCTTTAGTTCATTGCAGAAGGATGTAGATGCCAATTGCAAGACTTTTCTTTCCCTTCCTTGCATCCTTAGATTTCAAAGGCCTAGGTCTGATAGAGACCCACCATTCCAGGATGTTTGCACGTGGAGCTGAATAGATCAGGATCAGGATTAGTCCTAAATAATCTGTTTATGAATGAAAAAGAGGCCCTTCCCCCCTGTTTTGGCCACTCCCCTTCTCTTTGCAACATTTTTAGAATGAGGTCAGGGCTGGGCTCTAACTGATTATGTCTCAGAAATAGCCTCACAGATCAAAATTAATCTTAAGCTATTTGCTTTGCTGCTTCATTCAGATAAGGGGGAGGGGGGCAGAGGGGAAGGGCCTCTGTTTATGTTCTCGTTTGGTTTTGCTCATACGTTTTCGGGGATGGTATGAATGAGTGGCTGAGGCCCACAGGCCAAGGAGTTGCGCAGGGGATTGCGCCTGGCAGACAGCGGGAGTTTCTTTGCATTCAACTGCAGCATTCTTCCGATTTTAAAGCAATGGGGAAATAAAACAAGTCCTCCTGCTGCGATTTTTGAATAATTTTTTTACACAAGGATAATTTAGCAAGTCGGTGGAAACAGCACTTTTCTTTTTTAAGGTCTAGTTGTTTTGGTTGCCATTTTCCTTACCCTGTAGCCTACCTTTCCAACTGCAAGAGTTTGGGGATTTTTATTGAAGAATGTCTCATGTTGATTTTGTTCTTCAAACTCTTTAAAATACACACACACACAGAGCTGGATCCTTGGTGGATAATCTTTACATAACTTAGGGTCCCTCTGTGTTGAGGAGGTGGACACTTCCTAACACCCTTCAGCTTGTTGGCCCTTTAGAAGATCACTGTGTGAAGAGGTATGCTGGCCTGGCCTGTGTGCAGTGGCTGTATTCACCTTGTGTTCATTCGTAAGCTCACTTGCTGGCTGCTCTTTTTAAATTTTTGAACACACTTCTGGTGTACTAATAGTTTTCTCAGTGAAAGATTAAATAAACCAAGTAGACTATTGATTGAAGACAGAGTGTCAGTGCCCCCTAATTAGCCCCTTATTTAGGTGATGGACTTTGCTGGGTGACGCATCCACTGAAGGAGATGACGGACAATGGTGATTAATCTTGACTGAAGAGTGTCAAGAAAAATGAGGATTGTCATTTAACTAACCCCATGTGGTACCCAGTTTGGCTTGCTGCACCTGCAGGAGTGTGTGTGTGTGTGTGTGTGTGTGTGTGTGTCCATCGCTGGCACTAGTTGGCATCAAGTCTATCTCAGTTTATGATGACGTCCTGTATGTCGGAGTATAACTGTGTTTTGTAGGATTTCCATTCATTAGTTTTTCAAAAATAGATGGCCGGACATTTCTTTTCAGGTGCCTCTGAGGGACTCAATCTTCTAATCTTAGCAGCCAAGAATGTTAACCACTTGTATCACCCAGAGACTCAGTGTGTGTGTGTGTGTGTGTGTGTGTGTGTGTGTGTGTGTGTGTATAATATGGTGTTGTGTGTGTATATATTAGGGAATTCTAGTGTGTGTATATCAGGAAGCTCTTATGGCCTAGTGGTAAGAAACTGCACTGCAATCCAGAAGGCATGTGGTTCAAACCAACCAGCTGCATCATGGGAAAAAGATGGGCAGTTACTTTCTGTATATTTAAACTGTTTCTGAAAACCCACTAAAAGGTCAACTATGGGTCTGTTCTGACTCAGTGGTACACAGCACTAACAACAACAATGAACAATGGGTATGGAGCTGCACTGCCAAACCAAAGGCATGAAGTTCAAATTCACCTGCTTCTCCATGGGGGAAAAGATGGGCAGTTTCTTCCTGTGAGATTTACAAACTGTGAAAACCCACTGGAGGGTCAGCTCTGAGTCAGTTCTGACTCAACAGCATACACACACACACACACACACACACACACACACACACACACAGTATGTGTTGTTGTTGTTATGTGCCGTCAAGTCACCTGTGACTCATAGAGATCCTATGAATAACAGCCCTAAACCCTGCTCTCTCCTGTACCAATCTTATTGTCACTGACACACCTATCTCCATTACCCAAGTCACTGAATCAATCCATCTCATCAAGGGTTCCCCTCTCCTGCACCATCCTTCCACCCTCCCAAGAATGATGTCCCTCTCCAAGGACTGGCACTGTCTTGCAACATGTCCAAAGTATGTTAGACGAAGTTTCTGAATTTTTGCCTCCCAGTAGCAGCCTGGTCTCACCCTCCTCTCTGATATCAACCTGTTTGTGCTCCTAGCAGTCCATGGTATATTCAACACTCTTCTCCAGCACCACAGCTCAAAGGTATATAAAAGTATAAATATTTATCAAATAGTTGCCATGAATTAATATCATTCTGCCAGTAACTGGTAAAGGTAATAAGAATGGGAAACACACATATGTGCATACACACATATTACATATGTATGCAATGAATGTCCCTACATAGGAATGTTTATATAAGCAAATTTGTGTTTTTCAGGTTGATATTTCTTCTCTAGAGACGAAGGTAGACTAGTGGTTAGCTGAGGCTAGGGAGTAGGAATGGGTGCTGTTAACAGGGATGAGGGATTTCGTTGAAAGGATGAAAGCACCTTAAAACTAGATTATGACTTGAATTCTTTTGGGTAACAACAGGCTACGTATAATGTGAAAATTTGTATTACCCCAATTTTAGCTATTTTTCCCCATTGAATATTCTTTACTTTCAAGTTCCTTTTTTATAAATTTTTTATTTTAATTGTGATTTTAACAAAAGTTTACAGAAAATTTAGATTTTCATTCATTCATTGTTGTCCATTTTACTCCCTCTTCTTCCCTCCCCCACGCCCCAGTTCATTTTATTTGTTTTTAATATTTGTTGATTATTACACACTTACCTATTCCTCCCCCCCCCCCAAAACAGGACTGACATGAGGGTTGGGCTAAACTAAGAAAAGAGAGGATAAATAGGGAATACTGCCTGCATTGCAACCAATGAAGGAAAGAACTGTTTAAAAGGAATATATGATTAGGCATTATATACAACAGCCCAGAATAAGAGGCACTGAACGTTCTTGCCTTCCATTGTAGAGCAGCTGGCCCATGGGAACACAGAGCCAGATAAAAACCCAGTGTTCTCAGTCTGCCCTGACCTCTGTTGGTAAGGAGTGAGGTTGCTGACCACTGTGATGTGAGGAGCCAGTGGACATGTGGGCTTGGGGAAGGCACTGCAGCAGAGTGACTGGCACCATGTTTTGGAGCTGGTTACTTTGTGTGTGTTAAAACGAATGTGCTGGTGTCCAGCTTGGAAGTGATGCCATTTCTCTCTTCTTTTGCAGGTTGTTTTGGTCTTTGCTCTCAGCATTGGTGCACTTGTAATATACTTCATAGATTCGTCAAAGTGAGTATCCAAATGCATTTTTCTTGACCTCTCTTCAAAAACAGGCACAAGTCTTGACCTTGAGCATTATGCTTGCTTTACCTAACCCCTTTGAGAGTCTCCTGCACTCAGAAAGTTTTCGGAGGAAGGCAGGGCTTTGGTGACTTTCTGAATGTGGAAAATCTTAGGAAGAAGGTTACTTTGATTCTACTGGCAGAGAAGGGAGAGGTATCAAGGTCCTGCCTTCTTCATAGGCGCTACTGTTGTTAAAATCAATGTTTCCTAAGAAAATATTTGCACAAATGATGCCAAGAAAGAAGAAGGCTTTGCTATGAATTTGTAATCTCTGGAAGGGTCCCAGTGTTTAATGGTTAAGGGTCTGAGACACATTCATCATGGATGTAGGATTCTTTTCTCATTTGGGTTTCCAAAGATTCATTCCTCCATTTGGAGATCAGATCAGAAAGCATGGCACTATTATTCTGTGCACTTTCCTGACTGAGTTCCAGAGGAGAAAGCACCACACATTTGTCAAGGTAAGGAGGTGAGATGGAGTTCATGTCTTCCAGAGTTGGAAGCCCATGACCATCTGAGAATTCCTAGACTCTTGAGCAAATACCTAGGCCACCAACAAAGAGAACAGGTGGTCTGAGGCAGCCTAAAGTAGGATATGTGAAATAGATGGAAAAGATCTTGGAGGAGGCAGAAGACGACACTGCCCAGGGCTGCAAGGTGGAGACCATTTCTTCCCTGGTTCCTACATGTGCTACCCCTGGCTGCATCCTATGTTCCAACTATTCATTCTCATTGCACACTTGAAGATGACAGCATCAGGGAATCTGAAATGGAGCTGGAGTTTGACTCTCTTTCTGTGATGACATGAACTCATCAACTCTAGCTACAGCAGCTTGTGTTCTCTGCTTTCAGCGTCCACTATTTTGAATTCTAACACTGACATGGATGGACACTAGACTTTCATCCTAGGAAGAGTCACTTGGTTACACCTCTTTTTGACCTGGAGCTTCACGTGTATGAATTCTAAACTTATTTCTGTTTCTTTGTGGCTCAGGGTGGTGGTGATTTTGTGAGTACCCACTACATTTCTTAGAGCCAGCTGGTAACCAGCCAAAGCACTTTGTGCATATGGGTGCAAAGGCGAAAATGTTAAGGAAAATAAAAGAAGCTATCTACTCTAGTAACTTGTCTCTGAAATTCAGCCAAATCTGAGCATGCCAGATGTCCTGCTGCCCACCTCTCACACAAGGCTGGGTCTGGTCTTACCCCACTTAGATGGGAGAGAATCTACAGGAGATAAGATCCCTCAGGCTCCCTCCATTAGCTCTACCTGGCCACGAAGAAGAAGAGCTTTCTAAGCTCAGAAGATTCTAATTGCTATGTGATTGAAGGTAAGCACCTTTAAAGTATTTTCTCTTAATTATGCTGGCCATATTTGTATTGAACTAGAGATCTGCTAATACCTTGGTCTTATTTCTCTACTGTCTCTCTCCAGGAGTGTTTTCACATAATCATGGTCTGAACACCTTGCCAGCTTCCACAATGTGGAGCCAGCTTCCATGCCAGGGCCTGGGAGATAGTGTGGGCACATGTCTGGTTGCCCCAGAGAGGAAAACCTTTCAGGGGAAGTGAGTGATGGATTACAAGGACTCATCCCTCCTTGTCACACTTCCTTGCCCTCCCATTTCTTCTCCTTTGTATTTGTCATGAATAAAATGCTCTTGTAAGCTGTATCTGGGTATCCTTTTTTTACATTGTCTACCAAGAGATAATCTTTGACTCTGTAGATCTCGGGGTCCTCATTTGAGAGGATGGAAAGGGTTGGGATTCTCTGAAGCAGAACCTTTCTTCCTGAATGCCCCGCCCACTTCATGCCCTCTGTATTTAACATGCTGCCAGACTCTTTTTAAATTGACGACCTTGCTTAGAAACACATTTGCCATCATTTGAAGAACCCGGCATCTTCAGTCCTCTCTGATGCTGTTTTCTGCATAGACTTGTAAAGTGTCTGTGTCAGGGGTGGACCTTCATTATTGTTAACTTTTCCTAAGAAGAATGCCCAAAATTTCCTGTCCCAGGCTCTCTCCACTCTCGCTAAGGACTTCTCTTAACCTAAACCATTCCTCTTTGCCTCTAAACTTTGTGGTTTGGCATAGTCAAGTCTTATTTATAACAAGCTATTATATTTATGGAACTCTTTCCACTTTGGATTTACATTTCTTTATTTGATCCTGAAGCCATATCCTGGCATTGTGTTTGACAGAGGGCCAGGCATACTCAGTCCAAGAGGCTCTAGTTTTGCTGAGGTAAACCAGCAACCATGCTTAGTTTAAGTGAGTAGAAGAATCTTAAGAAAATCTATGGAGTAACTTATGATAAGTAACTTTTGTAATAAATAAGATCCTCAAGAATGGGGCATAGGGAAAGACCCTATTCAAGAAGTGATAATCAAGCTTTGTTACCAAGATAAAATGAAATTCTTCCCACATATAAGTTGTAAATGGAGACATGATGAGAAAACGGAATGTAAATTCTTAAACATCTATCTTTTTCATTTAGAACTGTCACCAGTTTTACACTTCATGATCTGGCTGGCCATCTGGGAAAGCTAGCTTTAGACTTCTCTTGAAAATTATTCTGATTTATCACTCTGAAAAAGATTCAGTATTTAAGGCCTATAGGTAAGCAGAGGGATAATCTTTAGGTTTTTCCAGGACAGAATCTGCTTGAGAAGACATCACCCATGGAGTGTCATGTCCCTGAACTTTGAACAGAGATAAATTGAGTATTGTCCAGTAGCAAAGGATCTGACATGAGGCTCCCTTTGAAAATTTGAGATGTGAAAATTAACAAAACAGATCCTTGCTCTCCATTTGAAAGGCTTTTTACAATTTAGATTGTAAATGTAGAGAGACAGGGTCATGGATGGATATTCATCTTCTGGGTCATAAACAGTTGGATATACCAGATAAGATGTCATACTTGGTGTTTTCATGATTCTTAAATCTTACAAAATTTATTTTATTATAAAAGGGTGAAGAATAAGTAATTTCCAAAGAAAGTCTTCTCAGCAGAGCTCTCCTTTTCCATTGTTAGGCTAACTCTTTTGCATGTAAGAAGTTGAGAATTCCTTAATTGAGTCTTCATTTTCCGTGGGTGATCATGCCAAAGAATCACCTTTGTGACTCAGAGATTGCTTTCTAGCAAAGTCAAATGGTTGTTGAGCCTCTGGAATTGAAAACCAAAGAGAATTACAGTAATCTATTAATGTTAAAATTCTGCTTCATCATCCAGTTCTCTTCAGAACTACCCAAGCAGCAGGAGATGTTCCACCAAGTCTTTGAGCTGATATAAATGTCACTGTCTTAGCAAACAAGCAGCATTCATCCACACTCATGCCTCCGCAGAAAGATCTCCTTCAATTAGCAGTTCAGCACAAATATTAGCCAAAGAAAATCCCTCTGATTGTCATTATTTTAGAATGTTTCCCCAGTCAATTTAAAGCACACGTTTTTCAAGCTCCCAATTCTCATGTCTCTTAATATCTATTCTATACTATCTGATTCATGGTGGAGAAAAGATTTTTTAAAAATTCCAAAACAAAGTAAAAAAAAAAAGTCCCCTATACACCCGAGGGTGATAATGTCACAGTTCCTATTCCATCTCTGTTTGTTCCCTCTCTTTGACACAGGAACAGTAATTCTTCTTTAATAGATAAGGAAAAGAAAGATTGAACAGTGCCAGCATGAGGGCAGGATTCATGGGCTGCATAATTCAGTAGTCCCAGGCACCATTAGAATTTTAACAGAAAGTTGGAGGAGAAAGCGGCTTAGGCACTGGGTATTTACATCTTCTCCAGAGGCATTCTGGGAAAGGATGACTCACCTATGTGAAACTCTCTAGTCCTTTGATGTATGTTTAAATCCTGCCACTTCTTATGCCACAGTTACGTGGATTATGAATATTTAATGCTGCACATCTGAAAATGAATGTCAAGTCCTGCTCACTGGTGACTTCAGTGCAGGCTCATGTCTCTGAGAGGCAAGCCACCTGCTGTTAGCAGAGTAAAGCTGAAAGGTTAGACATTGTTAAAATTTTCCTTAATGACTCTATCTGCTCCGAAATGGCTGAAACACAGTGGGGGCTCCTTCAGAGTTTGTCAGTCTTTGCTCTTGGCTTCTGGTGCCAGCAGTGCTGTAATGTGGAGATGGACACTGGGCATGGAGGAGGGAATAGTGATACAAAGCTTGGAGAGTGTCGAATCATCAAATCCCAGGGGTGGCCTGCCAGGGCACCAGTGGCTTTGCAATCTGAAAATGGCCTTCTATCAGACTTACCGATTTCCCTTTTTTACTCATTCACTTGTTTCTTCATCTATTCTTGTTATGCTCATTCACTTATCTATTTTTTTCAATATTCACATCATTTATTATGATGTTTTTTTTTAAAATTTTATTAGTATTAATGAACATTTACAGGGATTTTGGGTTTTCATTCCTTCATTGCTGTACCATTCTCTCTACCCTCTTCTCCAGTTTGTTCTTCTTCCCCCGCCCTCCGAATGTCTGTTTTAATTGTCCAATTGCCAAAGTGCTTGTCAAAGCCAGTTCTGTTTAATCTCCTTTGTCAGTGTG